TCGCTTGAACTGACTTATAACAGAGAAAGGAAATCATGTCCCCAAATGCCCAGTGCAGAATTTTTAACACCAGACCCTGTATGATGATATGTGACTGAGATAATGTCAGCATCTGCTCCAATGTTTACCAAGTTAATTCACCAATGCTCCAACCTTTAGACTCTAGTCTCAAACACCAGTGGCTCTAGGAACCTTTCTAAAAAGCAGATCAAAAAGAGAGCCATGCGGAATAAAGAGAATCATAAAATGCTAGTCTCACCATAAATTCACGGTTGGTGTCAACCTTGACTTTCTTTCCAGAAACATGGTGCATTCTTAAACGTGTGACTCATTCAGCCAGACAGGTTAATTGCAAAGACTCTTCCACTTCCTGACTCCCTTCTAGCCCCCTAGGAGGATTTACCTGGAACCAGGTGTATATATGCCTGCCTGCCCCTGACAGCCACGTATGTGACGATGGATCAGTTAAGGAATCCTTGGGAGACCCAGATCATGGTCAAATAGAAAGATACAAAGAAAAGGAAAATGACGCCCAAGCAGAAAATAATGCACCCTAGGGGGAGAAAGAGTGGAGAAGAGGGAGACACAAACCCTGAAACTGTGGCCCAGAGAGGTTGGAAAGCTGCTGAGGTCGCACAGCTAGTAATGGCTGAAGCAGGAGTCATACCCAGTTTCAAGGAATATTAGACTCCTCTCTGACACAGTCTTTCCCTCTCTTCCTTTTTGTAGGAACATCTAGAGGGTGCATCTGGGGGCCTCTGTCTTTGGGAGGAGCTTATAACTCAGAAGACTCAGAAAAGGTCGGCTTTGAAGGAGGAGAGCGGTGAGAGGCTACCTGGAGGTTCCGGGCTTGGGAAAGAATTGCCCTGGGAACCCCAGTAGGGCCGGCTGGCCAGCTCTGAGGGAAAGGAAAAGAGCAAAGCTGTCCGGGCAGACGCCCGTCTGAGGCACAGAGAGGGCGCCCTGAGCGGGAAGGCCAGCTCTATCAGGTCTCTCAGAGCCGAGTGAGGCTGGGTGGAGGACAGCAACAGGAAAAGGAGGAGACCCCCATCCGGGCGACGAAACAGTGAAACAGGAAGGAAAGGGAGTAACAAACCATGCTAACAGTGAACTCATAGACCATCTTTTAAGCTCTTAAAATACAGGGACTAATTTAACCATCGCAATAAGCTATAAGGTTTGTTACTGTTAATTAATTACTATTAATCATGATGTTGCATAATTGTTATAATTAGTATGAACAACACTAACAATACTATTATCACTGCATTTTACAGAGAAGTACACTGAGGCACAGAGAGGTCAAGTAACTTACTCAAGGTCACACGGCTGGTAAGGTTGAAACCTAGACAGACTGGTTTCAGGGTTCCTTCTCTTAACCACTTCACTTAGTAGCAATCCCAGAGAACGCTTCAAAGCAAAATTTCATCTGAGTGGAGTCTACTTTGATTAAATGCAGTAATTTTTATATCTGACATTTTCCCAGCACTTTACAATTTGCAAAGGGTTTGGCCTCCATCGTTCTGTAACCTCAGTTCTGCCATTTACTCGCTGCGTGACTTCAGACCAGTCACTGGCTAAGCTCCGGGGTTCCCATCTGTGAAGGGGGGACAATCATGCTTGTTGGGGGGTCAAAGGAGACAGCCACGTGCAAGGCTCCGCCCTGCGCCAAGCCCGGCACAGCGCTCCGAAGGGGCCTGCTGCTAACATTGTCACAGCGGATATTAACAGCTCGCTGGCACTTCATAACAGCCATGGGGGTACGCAGGATTCATTATCCTCATTTCTCAGATGCGGAACCCAAAACTCATAGACGGGAAATAACCAGCCAGAAAGGAAACGGCCAGAAAGCAGAAATGCCAGATTTGGAAAATGTTTGACTCTCAGCCTCCCGCCCTGCTCCAACCCTCAGCTCCACCTCCTCTGTCTTCCCGAGCAGGCACTGTCACACGCATCAGACCCTGCTTCAAACAGGACTGAGGGAAAGCGTGAAGCAACTGGAAGTCTAGGCTCACAGAGAAGCTCTGAGGAATATTAAGGAGGCTTTCAAGGTGAAAACGGGTTCCTCTCTAGGGACCAATGAGCAGGAATTCTCTCATCCCCAAGCAACGGTCAGAAGGACAGAAGGGCCTGAGATGACAGGCTGTGAAGATGGATGCGATCCCAAAGAGCCCAGGGGCTGGGCTGTGGGTGCGGGAGGGGTGTCCTCAGGTTGGGACGTAAAGGAAAGTGGAAGTCTTTTCATACAGGTAGACAGAGGAATGCTTTTAAACACTGTCTAAAATAACCAAATGCCACTTTCAAACTGCATTCCACATTGGGTTTGCTGTTTGGTCTTGTTTTTGTTTTATGCCTTTGCTTTTCCGTAATTCTGCATTTCAGCGCACCTGTTAAAGTTTCTATTAGCGCATCATGTTCTAGTACACAGGGCACTCAGTCCCGCGGCTAGCGGCACGGGGCTAGGAGGGAGCCAGGCCATCTTCAGAGGTGTAACATCTTAGCCGGCTTCTTTGACTCCACTTCTTAGTCAGGACCACTAACACGATTGGAAGATTCTGGAATTCGGGGTGTCTGCGTTTAAGGCCAGCCCTCCCAGAGTAAATATCACGTGCTTCCTCCCTCTAAATTATGCGGAGCCTTCCCCAATATTTTTTTCTTTTAAAATGAAAGAAAGGGTTTTTTTGTGTGTATCTTTTAGTAGTAGTAAGGTGTTTTTTTAAAAAGTGACTTGATATACGCTCCTGGTAGAACTTCACCTCATTAGCATTCCAATGATTTATTCAGGAAACTGCTATTGAACACCCACTAAGCGCCAGGCCTTCTGCCACGCGGCCCTGAAACACTAGACAGGATGTAGTTATTTACATCTTTGTGAACAGCTAAAAAGAAAGAGACATCAAGCACTTTGAACCTGCCCATAGCTCCTAGGACATGGCTTGGGACCAAGTAGCCAGGTAATATTTTCAGAATTCAACTTGAACAGTCACCCTATTAAAAATGCATATTTTCTCTAATTAGATGCTATTCCACTTATGCCCACAAGGTGGAGATCTTGCTTACAGTTTCCCCAAGCCGAAGAGCTTCATTTAAAAAAAAAAAAATCTAGGTAGAAGTTAAATCCAAAGCAAAAATTCTAGGTAGAAGTGAAATCAAAATTCAGTTCAATTTCTTGAGCACCTGTTTAGTGTCATATACTCTGTTAGGTGGGAAGAGAAATAGAAAGTTGATAAAACACCGTCCTTGTCCTCCAGGGAAAGATGACGGGTGAGGAGCTTGCTTGGAGCAGGACAGTCACTTTAATGAATTAATAAGTCTTGGTGCGTCCATATGGGAACCACAGTAATCGCAACATCAGATAACATCTATAAAAGGCATGAGACAGCCACCGCGTGGTGCAGAACAGATGCAACAAAGAGCCACACTTCAGCCAATATGGAAACACTCGAGGGGATCCTGGGTCAGCGCTGCAAGGCCCCAGATGTGTGCTCAGCCACAGACATGAGGGTGTCCGCCCTATAACTCTAGAACATTCATTCTTTGGAAAGCAAAATATAACTAGTGACAGCTGATGGGCTAACGCAATTGAAAACCCCCATGTGCGCCGGATGAGGGGCTACAGAGAGAGAAAAGAAACCCGTGGAAGGAAACATTTCAAACTTCAGCTTTCCGCAGGCGGACTCCGCCCCCGCCCCGACTCCGTGTCTCACCTGGGAATCTCGGCTTGGATCTGGGGCGCACTGTGGTGCGGAGGGAGGGGACGGCAATTCTTCTCCAGGAGCTTTCCCCGTGGACTGAACCCAAGGTGGCTGGAGGACAATGTGGTTTGCTGTTTTTTGATCCTTCTCTCCATCCCCTCCCCCAACCATTTCTTTTTCCCTTAAACCTTTAAACCACTAAGTCAAAGGCAATATGGGGATTTTTATTTTCATTTGTTGACTTGAAAAATCACATTTGGAGAATAAAGTGACTGGCTAAATGACAGTAAGTAAAAAAAAAAAAATGAGAATGCTGGCAACTGGATAAAAATGTTGGACTTCCTCGAGGGAGGGAAAATCAAGTGGCATGCTGCCAAGAGAGACCTAAGTTTGAATTCTAGTTTCTCCACCTGCGATCTGGGGGATGGGGAGCAAGGCCCATCCCTTCTCCGTGCCTCAGTTTCCTCATGGGCAAGCCAGTATTATTTCTTTAGAGGACTCGTCCCCAGCAGCCCTCTCCCCCGCGCTAGGTCGGGCGCTGGGTTCTAATGCTCTCACTGCAACCTGCGCGTCTCCCTGGGGTGTCCGCTCCGGCAGCGCTGGGACTCGGATCTGCGGCTTTTACTGCTCGGTGACCAGACCCGGGCCAGACAGACTCTTGGTCGAATGAATGAACGAATGAGCGGGAGCCTGCCTAGGCGTTCTACTTGCACGGCGAGGTTCGAGTCCCTGCGAGTCCCCTGGGAGAGGCGAGGGGGCCAACCTCAGAGCGCACCAGCCCGCAGTGGCCCGCGCTGGCGAGCGCGCTCGGGGAAGGGGGTGTCGGCCCAAAGTTGTTCGCTACAGATGCCGGCTCCACCGGCTGGAGCCCCATCCTCTGTGGCTCGGAGAGATTCCCAGGGATTTACATAAGGCAGGGTGAGTCACACACCGTCGGGAACGGAGAAGGCGAAGGGACCCGCCCCGATCCTCGCCAGCCGGCGGCCGGAGCGCAGCGGGGGTTAGTCTGAAGTTTGCAGGCGGCCAGGCGCTGCCCTGGCGAAGGGGCCTGGCGACACCGCCACCCCCGCGAAGGCCAGGGCGCGTCCTGCCCTCCCCGCCCGACTGCAGCTCGGCGCCGCCCGCTGCGACGCCCCCCGCGCGGGGGCCGCCAGTCGGGCCTTCTCCGGGCCCCCAAGCCCCGGGCCGAGGGGGTGGGACCGCCTCCCGGCTCGGCAGGCGCCATCGCCGCTTTAAGGGGAAGAGGCGGGGAGGGGCGGCGGAGGGGGCGGGAGCGGCGGCGGAGGGGGAGGGGGATCCCCGCTCCCACGTGGTCCGGCGCCTGTGAATCGCGCCCGCCGGAGGCTCTCACGGAGCAATACAAAAGCAGCTGGGAAGCGGCGGCCAGGCGAGTTCCCAGCGCCGGGCAGAGCCCCGCAGCGCCCCGCAGCCGCGATGGCGCCGAGGCGCCCGGAGCCCCGGAGCCCCCGAGCCGCCGGGCCCGCCTCGCCGCCGGGACCCGGGCGCCCGGGCTCGGCTTGAAGCGGCGGCGGCAGCGGCGCGGCCGGGGAGCATGGGCCGGAGGATGCGGGGCGCCGCCGCCGCCGCGGGGCTCTGGCTGCTGGCGCTGGGCTCGCTGCTGGCGCTGTGGGGGGGGCTCCTGCCGCCGCGGGCCGGGCCGCCCGCCTCCCGGCCGCCCGCAGACCGCCTCCCGCGGCGCCCGGCCCGCAGCAGCGGCCCGGAGCCCGCGCCTCGCTTCCCTCTGCCCCCGCCCCTGGCGCGGGACGCCCGCGGCGGCTCCCTGAAAACTTTCCGGGCGCTGCTCACCTTGGCGGCCGGCGCCGACGGCCCGCCCCGGGAGCCCCCCGGCGAGCGCAGGCGGCACGTGCCAGCCGGACGGCTCCGGCCGGAGGGGCGCGCCGCGGTGCACGGGGGCGTCTTCTGGAGCCGCGGCCTGGAGGAGCAGGTGCCCCGGGGCTTCTCGGAGGCTCAGGCGGCGGCGTGGCTCGAGGCGGCGCGCCGCGCCCGGGTGGTGGCCCTGGAGCGCGGAGGCTGCGGGCGCAGCTCCAACCGGCTGGCCCGCTTCGCCGACGGCACCCGCGCCTGCGTGCGCTACGGCATCAACCCCGAGCAGATACAGGGCGAGGCCCTGTCCTACTACCTGGCGCGCCTGCTGGGCCTCCAGCGCCACGTGCCGCCGCTGGCATTGGCCCGGGTGGAGGCTCGGGGCGCGCAGTGGGCGCAGGTGCAGGAGGAGCTGCGTGCTGCGCACTGGACCGAGGGCAGCGTGGTAAGCCTGACGCGCTGGCTGCCCAACCTCACGGACGTGGTGGTGCCCGCACCCTGGCGCTCCGAGGACGGCCATCTGCGACCCCTGCGCGCCGCGGGGGGCGAGCTGGCCAACCGCAGCCAGGCGGAGCTGGTGGACCTGGTGCAATGGACCGACTTGATCCTCTTCGACTACCTGACGGCCAACTTCGACCGGCTCGTCAGCAACCTCTTCAGCCTGCAGTGGGACCCGCGCGTCATGCAGCGCGCCACCAGCAACCTGCACCGCGGCCCGGGTGGGGCGCTGGTCTTTCTGGACAACGAGGCGGGCTTGGTGCACGGCTACCGGGTGGCAGGCATGTGGGACAAGTATAACGAGCCACTGCTGCAGTCCGTGTGCGTGTTCCGCGAGCGGACAGCGCGGCGCGTCCTGGAGCTGCACCGCGGCCAGGACGCGGCCGCCCGGCTGCTGCGCCTCTACCGGCACCACGAGCCGCGCTTCCCGGAGCTGGCCGCGCTCGCCGACCCCCACGCTCAGCTGCTGCAGCGCCGCCTCGACTTCCTCGCCAAGCACATTTTGCACTGTAAGGCCAAGTACGGCCGCCGCCCGGGGATTTAGCGTCACCCCAGGAAGAAAGAGAGAGAAAGCCCTGCCTGAGGAATGGATGATGGGGGAAGGGCCGTCGCCTCCGCCGCCCCTGGGACCAGCCGGCCAACGCCCACCAGCGGCCCCAGCGCGCAGGCGGCTACAAACTTCGCTTTCACCCACCTGCCTCTTTCTCTCAGTCCCGTGCTGTTTCCTTTAAAGCTCTGGGAGGACGAACTCACCGAGGCGAGAAGTGTAACATTCCTTCCACCCAGCCTATAAAAGGATTCTTTCCTGTGCCAGCACGGAGTTTGGATCCAAAGAAACGGGCTGCCGGATTTTGGCCCCCGGGTAGCCGTCTCTGTGGAGGATACGCCCCCATTCCTTGGCCCCCTTCATTCCCTCTCCGAAAGAGGAAAACTTCTATTTGAGCCATTGAGCTAATTCTGCGATTTCCTACCGAACGCAGCGCTGGTGGCCCCGGAGCAGGGCTGTGACATTGGCTGGTGGAGCCCCCTTCCTGTGCTCTGCCTTTGTTCCAGCTCCGTGATGGTGAGATCACTGTTAAGAGCTGGGGAACCGCTCCGGACAGGACAAAGGGAGCAGAACCTGCAGACCCGGAGAGTTCTGCAGACCTGACAATTTGTGTGATTTGTTCCTTGCCGCCTGTCATTTTGGCCCGAAGGCTACAAACACAGGGCCGGCTGTGTGCACTGAGTCGAATAATGAATTTCTTCTCCCGCCCCCTCCCAACCGACCAAAATTTTGACAATGATGAGGTTCAACGGAAGGAAAAATCAATTTCATGCACTTTAATTTGTTTTTATTTTAATTTTTTATTAAGAAAAACTTTTTTATTTGATAAAATTTGCCTTCTATGTATATATGTGCATAAAGTGGTGTAAATATACTAAACAAACTTATATTTCAATAAAAGGGAGTTTAAAGTTTAGAGTTTAATTCTTATGGTTTTAACTGTTTGCAGTGTTTGAGGCCCTACCTGGTTTTAGAATGATCTTTAGAGTTTCTTCCTTGTGGACCTGCTTGTAAAACAAAGGATGCATATATATCCCAGCTGTGACTGCGGAACTTCTAGAATTGAAGAAAAGCAGGAGCAGACTCCGTGTCCCGCTCACTCAAATGAACCCTAGCACTCAAAGTTTCAGAGTTCAGCTTAGAATGTGGGGGAAGGAGAGAGAGATGGAAGGAAAGTATTCTATTTCCTGGCAAATAAAACTTTGATGTAAAAGGATTTCGCTGTAATATGTTCCTATATTAATCATATGGCAAATAGAGAACCAGATGTGCAGACTAGAAAACGACAAATGCCCCCTTTTAAACTTACCTGCAGTGGTCACGTGTCGCACGTTATTTTCAGCATTGTAATTACTGTGCATCACAATGTGTACAGATAATAAGCTGAGCACATGTTGCAAACGGGTACAGAAAGCTATAAATTAATTCCTCTCTTTAATCTCCGGGTATAAATTCCATTGCTTCCAGGAGACCATAATCTCCAACATCTGGACTCATCTAGTTCTCTTAAGAGATTATACTGGTTTTTTTCCGGGTACTAATTGCGTGGTCCCCTTAGAGACTCCGTTGTGAGGCCAAGAAAGTGAGCAGTACTTTGTATATGACATTTGGACCCTTACTTCTCAGACTTCCAACTTAGGAAATATTTCTGGGTTTTCTTAAGCTCCCTTTTGACCCATGGAGACGAGGAGGAGGGTTGGTTTTGGTTTGTTTTATAACCTAGTGGTGGGTTTTTTTGTTTGGTTGGGTTTTTTTTTGTTTTTAGGAAGATTGGCCCTGAGCGAATATCCGTACCCATCTTCCTCTACTTTGTACGTGGGACACCTGCCACAGCATGGCTTGAGAAGCAGTGCAAAGGTCCGCACCCCGGATCTGAACCGGCAAACGCCAGGCCACCGAAGCAGAATGTGCAAACTTAACCACTATGCCACCTGGCTGGCCCCTACAACCTATTGGTGTTTTATCTTGGCATTTTATTTGATATCTGGGTCCAAGTGGTCTTGCCTATTATCTTCTTTTTATTTAATGACCTTTAACTCAAAGCAACTTTTGGTTACTTTAATAGTTTTTTATTTGACTTGCATTTGTAAACCCAGGGATTTATAGACTCATGAAGATATTAAACTTTCTCACTCTGCGTTACCACACAGTGTGTAATTTAACTGTTTCATGCCATCCTTATGTTTTTAGTGCCTTGTGCTAAGCCAAATCTTAATGGAAAAAAAAGTCCATAAAGTATTTGTGGTGTAAGCTAAATTTTTAAATACTACAGCCACAGAATGTACTGATAATGGCAAATATATCTTTTTCAAGACATTGTTAGTGTGAAACCTCTGATAGTTACGCCTTTCAAAAAGAAACATTTTCCGTTTCTGATGATTAATAACTATATGAGATTTGCTCCCCAAATTGATGGAAGCTGCTCTAAGAAAAGGATAAATAGTCAGCAAACAGCATTTTTGCCGTGATGTTCACTGAGGAAAACGATGAGCAGGGTTATAAGTTTCACGGGTTGCACCGGAAATGCACCGACTCCCGTGTAACTTCAGCACTAGTGTGTTCTGGGCCGGCAGCATTCTCTGCATTCCTCCTAAACTTCAGTTCCAAGCCCAGACTTGACCGTGGTTAACCCAGAGCAAGAAACTAAGCATTATTTAAATGGCTCTTCTCAGATTCTTTAGTGAACCATATCTGCCTGTTCAAGAAATAAGTTTAATTACATGGTGGAGTTGTTAAGGGAACCAAGACTTAATTAGAGAGAGCAAGTTTAACTGTTGCTGTTCCTGTGGATGCTCCATGGGCTGTGGCTGGAAAGAGCAATTAAAGTTTTGCCGTGGTCAGTGAGTACAGCTAGGGCCCAGTCATTTTTCAGATGATGAAAAAAAAGCCTTTCAGGCTGCAGCCTAATGTGGAAAGAGTAATGGGTTCTACAGGCAGACTATATTCTGAATTCTGTCCTTCACTCATTTAGTTTCAACAAGTCATTTAACGTTTATCTGTGAAATGGAGATTCCATCAGAGTGTTGTGGGATTTAAATGTTAACATAAAGCATAAGGGCACATAATACATATTACCAAAAAAAACCTCACTTCTTATTCGTCTTCGAAACAAACTCTTGCCTTACTTACACTTCAGTAAACTTCTACTAATTTTCATCAAGGCCAAATCCAGCAGTTTCCAAGATCAGGTTCAGTTGTGAAGCGTAGTAATAAACTAGTTCAAAGATTATTGAGGTTCCCCTCTTCCACTAAAGCAGTGGGTCACATGCCAAGGGCGCAGGTTTGATCTCTGTGTGGGCTCAAGTGGGTGGCTTCTGGACCCGAGCAGACGCCTGCATCAAGGCAGATCTACCATGAATACATGAGCATGATTTGGGGGGAAAAAAAAAAAGGTAGATGGCTCATTGCAAATCCATCTCCGCTCTGGAAAGCATCAAAAAGTGATGAATCTTTGCAAGAAGCATGATCCTCCTCCCAATTCCTTCTGCCAAGAGAGTGCAGGCAGTTAACCTTTTCTCTCTGGAGCTGACCGTTGATTAATGCACTTTTTCAGTGACATTGTTCTAAACTCTATTAAGAATACTCACCTTCCTGTCTTCGAACCAGGAAGAAAAACAAATTATGTTAACACATCTCAACACTTCTCAACCTTCTGCCTACAACTGCAGCTAGGAGAGTCCTCTTAAGGCCTGGAGACTGATTATGTGGGTTAAAGGAGTAAATATTTGTGATGTTCTCAGAGCAGAGCCTGGCACAGAGTAAATGCAGCATAAGAGTTTGTTTATTGCTGGGGTACATCATTTTGTCCTCTAAGTCACAACCAGAGGCACTTTGAGCCCCAGGCAAGATCCTCTTTTGTAATCTTGTTGCATCTCTGCAGTCATGGAACACTTTCTGCACGCTTCTATTTTGGCTCAGGAAGACCAGCCAGAGTGCACGAGTCTGGCAGGAATTGCCAAAAGCCCACAGTTGTCAGCTGGTTGCCTTCTCCCTGAGAATGCCCTCTATGTGAGCTGTCACATGCACGGGGGGTTATTTCTCATGTGGCTCATCAGGGCGGGGAACAGTGAGCTGTGGAATTCTGCACCCTCCGAGCAACCAGTAGTCATGGATCATCCACGCCTGGACACTCATTATTTGTCCCTGCACACACTTGCCCAGTCCCACAGCACAGCTGATCCCATGTAGTGTAAGGTCGGTGGGAGTACTAGAGGAGAGAGGGAAGCTGGTTGACCTAGAAGCACAGGAATTGCTCCAGAAGGGAAGAGAATAGCTGCCAAGGTGGCACAGAAGCCACAGGGCAGGAGTTGACACCCACCTGCAAGCATACGTGGATCGTTAGATCTGACTCATAAGTGAATTGGGAAAGTCACTTCCCCTCTCTGGCTCCAGGTGTCTTACCTGAAACAGAAGGTGTTTGACTAGATTTCCAAATTTTTCAACCAGAACTCACAATAAGACACACACTCAACATTGTGACTCAGCGCACATACACAGACACACAACTGAAACAAAAGTTTCACAAAACAGTATGTACAACACACTTCTAACAGCCAATCCAATTTTACTCAATTCCTCCTCTTCCGCTACTTCACAATGCTATTTGTGCCCCTCTAAACCGATCTCATAACTCGTCAGCGGGGCACAGCCTACACACTATGGAAAACACTGGATTCCGTGATGAGTAAGCTCCCTTCCAGCTCTAAGATTCCAGGGAAATTCCATTTATGCCCAGTTTAACACCTATGACAATTTTTTCCCCAAAGTGAATGCAAACAAATTTCAATTTTGTATACTCTTTTAAAAACAAAAAGCTGAAGTGTTTTATTTCAAAATATGATTAGGAGAATGGTTCAAAATCTTACATAGGCTCTTTTTATAAACACCTTTAAAGTCCTCTAAATGTGGGCAGTAACTTTCGGTCTGTTCCGACCATGCATGAGCAAATGCCACGTTGTGGGGCTTGGGAGGGAGAAAGTTCCTTGCATCTCTGCCTCGACATGGCCCAAGGACAACTCAAGAGGACAGTTTCCTTTCAGTATATTCATAAAGATCAGATGCAGGAGTCATAATTTTTTAATGTGACTGTTTTACCAATTTCTTTTTCTGTGTCCTGCTGTGGGGGAAACTGCATTAATAAACTATGTCTCAATGCTGCCTCGCTGGAATTTTTTTCTCTGCAGGACTCCACCAAATATAGCTGAAGGAATGCTCATTTTGTTTATCTTTTCAACTTTCTTTCCATTTTGGATATGTCTTCTTGACACTTTTGAAATTTTTCCCTTAAGGGTACCTTAATATATTTTTTTAGGGGAATAGAGAACTAATTGTTCGTTGAGTAACAACAACGACAACAAAAAAGAACTCTTTTTTTCCCCTGTCTTTGGTGCCATATGGCATCTTTTACAGTTTTAACAGTTATTTTACACCCTATCCAGGAAAATTAAATAGCTTATGGGACTGGCATTTTTCCAGCACCAGCTCACAGATTTTACTTTGCTGAGAAATTGTGGGTTAATAATAGAGAAATGTCACTTTTAATTTGATGGTCCTACATTATGCATTTGTCTCCGCCTGTTTACACCTTCCCTTCAGTGATTTGTTTTAATGCTCATTAAAGACTTTCTTCCCACCCTACAAACAGCCTGGAGAAGCAAGGCGAGTGGGGAATGACCGTGGCCATGATCTTTTTTCTAATTTTTATTTTTTAGTTTTGATACAATATACAGAAGATAAAATTTGCCATTTTAACCGTTTGTAAGTGTACAATTCAGTGATATTATACTATCAACGTTGTACAGCCATACCGCTATCTATTTCCAAAAATTTTCATCACCCCAAATAAAAACTCTGTCAACATTAAGTAATAATTCCCCATTCCTCCCTTCCCCCAGCTTCTGGTAACTTCTAATCTACCTTGTCTCTTTGTGAATTTGCCTGTTCTAGACATTCCATATGAGTGGAATCGCTTACTCGTCCTTTTGCGTCTGGCTTAGCCATGATCTTGGTCATGGAGGCAATATGATAGCATGTAAGCGATATCATTTGGGAACTGGAAAAACTGTATTTGAGTCTAATTTCCACATTTAATAGCCCTGGACTTTCAGACCAATTGATGTCCTCATTTTCCTCATCTGGAAAGCAATGGGAAGACTAGGTGTTCTCTAGAATCCCCTTCGACTCTAGAAGAATGCCATGTTTTTATGTACAGCA